AGAGGAGAGGGAGGAGAGAGAGGGAGGAGAGAAAGGGGAGAGAGGAGAGGGAGGAGCGGGAGGAGAGGGAGGAGGGGAGAGGAGAGGGAGAGGGAGGAGAGAAAGGGGAGAGAGGAGAGGGAGGAGGAGAGGGAGGACTGGGGCCTACAGAGAATAAGAACAAGGTTACCATGAAGGACGAGACTGAAACGGGTGAAGAGCAGAATTCCGATCAAGAGGAGAGGACGGGGGGGAGACGGAGAAGTGGACTGAGAGATGAAACCAGAGGGAGCGGGACAGATGAAACTATAGATGGAGCGAAGGAGTTAAATGACTCAGATGCAAAGCGCTGGCTCCTCTCCAGAGGAGTGTCCAGCTGTGGGCTGAGGGCCCTCCAGCCCTCATGGCTCTACTCCACCCAGTAAGTGTCATCAATTAGTCCATTTCCCCGATGCCGGTGACATGAAACCATACCTGGAGGATCTGCCTCCGCCCTTTTCTCTTCAAGTGCCTGCTAGGCCACTTTGATGGAGGGAAAGCGAGAAAAAAGCAGCGCAGGTTTGGGGGGAGCTGCAGTGCCATTGTGCAACGTCATTAAATATGTGCATGTACAGAGACACACACTGAACCCAAACCTGGGAATGGACAAGCAACAGAGACTGACAGAGATGGAGAGAGAAAGAGGAAGAGGAGGGGTTAGAGATGGAGAGAGAAAGAGGAAGAGGAGGGTTTAGATCAGCCTGAGGGGAGTAAACCCGACTGGACACCAGCAGCCTTCACCAAACTAAAAGGGGCAGTGGAGGTGTGGAAGTGGTTTAGAGATGGAGAGAGAAAGAGGAAGAGAGGAGGGTTTAGAGATGGAGAGAGAAAGAGGAAGAGGAGGGTTTAGAGATGGAGAGAGAAAGAGGAAGAGGAGGGTTTAGAGATGGAGAGAGAAAGAGGAAGAGAGGAGGGTTTAGAGATGGAGAGAGAAAGAGGAAGAGAGGAGGGTTTAGAGATGGAGAGAGAAAGAGGAAGAGGAGGGTTTAGAGATGGAGAGAGAAAGAGGAAGAGGAGGGTTTAGAGATGGAGAGAGAAAGAGGAAGAGAGGAGGGTTTAGAGATGGAGAGAGAAAGAGGAAGAGAGGAGGGTTTAGAGATGGAGAGAGAAAGAGGAAGAGGAGGGTTTAGAGATGGAGAGAGAAAGAGGAAGAGGAGGGTTTAGAGATGGAGAGAGAAAGAGGAAGAGAGGAGGGTTTAGAGATGGAGAGAGAAAGAGGAAGAGGAGGGTTTAGATCAGCCTGAGGGGAGTAAACCCGACTGGACACCAGCAGCCTTCACACAACTAAAAGGTGCAGTGGAGGTGTGGTGGTGGAGCTGGAGCTCATTAGGATCCAAGAAAAGTGGCTCGGCTGGAAGTCGAGCAAAGAATTAAACATGAGGAGGAAAGAAAGGGGCGGTGCAGGCTGAGGGAGAGCGGAGCGATTCACCTTGTTCCCTGATCAGAGGACAGAATATAGATTAGAGAGGCAGCAGAAAGAGACGAACGCCAAGAATAAAGAACAGGGAGAGTCAGAGGAGTCAGGCTGCAGGACGTAGGAACAGCGGAGTGGCAGGAAACACAGATGGTGACTTTACAGGCGGCGGGACGCATCTGGTTCAGGGTCTGACTCCAGATTATTGTTGCCCTGTCTGCACCACCACCTTCTCTCTAATCGGTTTTTACAGGAAGTTCAGTGAGTGCACGTAAAGTTTGACAGAACTTTGGTTTTTAGTCATTAACGATAAAAGCCTTCCTGCCCGACACGACCAGCTCTCAGCCTCCTGCTTCAAGGAGCTCGCTTTGTGCTCAGTCTGCTTTCACTTAACTCTACAGACAGAATTAGATCTGTTTCAATTTCCCCTTTTAACTCTGATCCAGGATCAGTTTATCCTCTGTGTTTTAGTACCATAAATGTTTAAATGATTTAATTAAGTGGTGAAAAGTGCAACTACATAAAAAATTAACAGCAATTTAATTCTTAATCTATGAATTAGACTGAAGTAGAGATGTGCCTGAGCGTGCACGCTGTGCACTGAATTCTGTATTTGGCATTAACGTAACCTTTTACGTCTCTACGTCGTCTTTATTTTGTTCTATTTCTACTTAGGTCAGTTTCATTTAGCAGTGCTGTGACACACAGCTCTCGGCTACAAGACGCTAGCAAAGCTAAAGTTTACACAGGAAGACTTTCAGCATGTCCACAGATGCTTTGCTCAGGTGCATGCTGGGAAGTCTACTCCATGGACACCGCAGCATCTTCATCGCCTCCCGCCTGTGATGTTCTTCACCTTCATCCTCCTCGGTGGCTCTGTGCCGAGGTCAGTGGGCGTTTCAGAGAGATTCAGTCGCCCATATATTTATTCTATAGGCGTGAGCGAGCATGCACGTGCACAAACAGATTGTTGTTTGTGTTAAGGTGCCAACATGCACGTTGGATACACATTTGGAACTTGTTCTATGCGTGATTTGATAAATGAGCGCGCTGACTCTGAAAGTGATGAATATATAAACCATGTACAGTATAATGAGGCTGCTTTTGAACAGCTACAGTACGACATGGTGCTACTCTGACAGTATCTGACCAGATGAAAAACCCTTCATACTGTAGCGTCAGCTGGACTGTGCCGTCACTGTGCCGTGGACTTAAGCTGCTTAGAGGAGCGAAGCGTCCTCCAGCGGAGGTGTCACCAAAATGTATGGCGTGTAAAGTCGAGCACACGACTGTGACCATACAGCAGCTTTTCATCGTTCATCAGTGATAGTTTGATGATTTGTAAAAACACTACATAGGTGATGAAACAGTTGACCAGGCATTAAAAACAAACAGCTGTGAACATCTGCACCGCTCACTCTGGTGTCTGTGCTGCTCAAAGGCACCTTGATCATATCTAATCAGAGCAGCACCTGTAAAACTGGAGGCTTAAAACGCTTGGAAAGTGAAAAGCAGATGATGAGATGCGGATAGAAAGACACACGGAGGCGGTCAGGTAGCGCACGTCAAGGATACAGCTGGGAACAGCTGGGTTTTGACTGGAATGTAACGGCCAGCCGCCAGCGCTTTATGGCCATTTTTCTGTGTTTTAACCAGCACACACACTCTCACCCTCTCCCACTGCCTCTCCTTGTTGAGCAGAATGATGACCAACTTGGGGTGCATCTGGTATCCATCCTCACTGAACGACAGATTGCGCCCCTCAAACGTCACATTCATCAGGTACCTGTAGAGAGAAAGAGTGGAGAGAGACTCACTGAGGCATCGATCACTCGCTGCAAAACCTCTCTGGCAGCGACAGCTCAAAATGCTTTATTTGCTCTATACATCTATATCCTCTCCTGTTCAGTGACTCAATCTCCCAAACATTAAGCTTCATTGTTTGTCAGTTTATTTTTTTAAGGATTTATCTTTTCAGACAATCACACTGACATTACATAAATTCATCATCTGCCAAGAAAAAGCTATCAGCTAATGTCTAAGCAGGTTTTCCTTAAATACATGAATATAAATCAGCCATCAGCTGCAGACAGACATTTGAGCAAAACAGCGGGTGATGATTTTAAAACAGGACAGAGGAAAACGAAGGTTAAAAACACCAGCCATCCCATATGACAGATTCGATGTGTTCACCCTCACTGAGTCAGGATTTTGGGAAATATGCTCTCATACCTATCCACGAACTATGAATCTACAACCAGCAGTCTGTTAGCTTAGCTTAGCACAAAGACCAGAAACAAAGGGAAACAGCTGGTTCTGTTTTCTTCAGGATGTAGCTCCGTAACTTTTGAAGATACGTCAAGTCTGTTTACCCTGTAAGAAATTCACCTCTGGTGTGTCAACAAACAACAAGCAGCAGTGAAAACACAGCCTCCTGGGTGGAGGTAATCATTTGGGTTCTAGTGTTCTGAGTTTATAAGAGGTGTTTGACAATACACTTGGCTCACGAGACAAGATGAAATGGTATCTTCAGTGATGAAACATATGACTGGAAAACCTTTTATTTGGAAAGTAACAACATGCAAATCAGAGCAGGTGCATTTTCAGATGTCATAGCTAATCATCTTGTAATGAATGTCACCCGTTCTACTTTTTGAGAATGTGGTAAAAGACAACAGTCACTGCAAAACGTTTGGCCGCAGACTCAGCTGACCGGCTTCTATCCTGGAGGATTTCACACAAGTCTCTTCGGGCCTTAGAACTGTGCACGAACTCTGCAGGAGCTTCCCACTTCTAACTGAAGCCGTGTGACCTTTCACCCGCCCGTCTTGCTGGCTGCTGCTCTGGTTCTGTTATGTACTGATACTGCGATGCAGCTTTCGCGTTTTAATGTTGCAACATCTCGTGGCTCCTCCACTGTATAATACGATGTCTTTAACGTTAATGCACCTTTAAGAAACAGTTGAAACTGTTGAAACTGTGGCTGCACCACCTCAAAGATAAACTGACCGGTGTTTGCACCTGATTTTTGCTTTGTCCCACAGACACACCACAAAGCGAGCTCTGAAGAAAGGAGCCAAAAATTGAGCGATGCAGTTTGTGTGCAGCCACAAACAAACAATACAGTGTAACACAGCCACAGCAGCTTATCAGATCAGTGTGTGTTGGTGTGTGCGTCTGCTTCAGCCGGCCCGTTTGTGTGGCGGAGAAGGAGAAACCGAGAGAAAGCGGCATTGTTTCTGTCAGATGAGCTCATTTCATCTCCCTTCAAACGAAACACAACACACACATGCCCAGCACCGTTTTCTCTTGCAGTGATTATAGTGAATGTGTGTGGGAGTGTGTGTGTGTGTGTGTGTGTGTGTGTGTGTGTAAGAGAACAGCAATGTTTATGTCAGGTGAACTCGTGTCGCTTCACTGTCATCCCACACACACAAACACACGCAGTATCTCTTAACTCTTTCACTGCCTCACCCTTTACACTCTCTCCTTCCCTCTTTCTGTGTGATTGTTTCCATGGAAACTGCCTCAAAACTGTGCACATCATATATATGCAGATGAATAAATAAATGACAAAAGTAGGTATCTGTGTGTGTGTGTGTGTGTTGTGTGAGAGGCTCTGCACACACCGGCCTGGCTCATCTACCAGGACACACGATCACCGAATCCCGGATGTTCTGAGCCGCCGTCTTCCTCAGAAGAGCGCGACGAAGCTCAACCTCACTGCAGCGCGACTTTAATGCTATACACACCTCGCTGCTGAAATCCAAGTGCTTTAACTTTGCCCGTGTCAGACCTGAGAGATGGAGCAGTTCACAGCTGATCCGGGAGCTTCGGCTTGATGGAATTCAAATTTAAGTGTTTGTGTTTGTTTCCATGCCCCTATCTACTGTCTCTATGCACGTCCTGTGCACAGAACCAAGGGCCTCGTGTAATAATCTAATGCCAGCTCCCTTATTCTATATCCTCTATTAAATATTGGTTCATTTCAGCGGGCTGTGATGAGCAGAACCATCCAGCGTCATACTGTGTCCTGCAGCCCCACGTGTCCGGCTAACAGCCCCGTCCTGTAGAGCCTTGGCACGGATACAAAGTGAACAAAATCTGCTGCATAAATCATAAGCCATTTACAAAATGACTTGACGCTGTGCCCCCGTTAATCTGAACCGAGCAAGCTATTGTTACATGCTACAGCGTGGAGCCTTTGTGTGTGTCTTCGTGCTTATGTGTGCGCATCCTACACATGTTGACAGCAGTAACAGAACGAAACACAAGCATGTGTGTGTTGCCATGGCTCCCACAACCACTGTGAGTTCCAGGCCAATCTGCCGCGTTACTCTCACAGAGGGTGGGAGTGAAAGAGAAAGAGAGAGGTGCGATTCAAAGAAAACAAGGACGGGGATGGGACATATTACTAGGAGACAGCACAGCTCTTGTCCCTCTTCTCCCATGACACTGGGACCGCTGTGTCCACACTAACATGTCCTCTAGCAGACTGTACATCCACATCTGGAAGCTGCTCTGTCAGTCTTCCTTTGCTGCCAGACACAAACACACAGATGGTGGCAAATGAAAGGAATATCCAGAACTAATGAGTGGAAATAAAATCTGCAGGGGCCAACGATTAATCTGCTGCTTATTGTCTTGATTATTTGATTTATCTTTTTATTCACAGAATTTCAAACATTGGGGAAAATGTCCATATCCGCCCACCCGCTAAACCCCTAGTTTTGATATCCTGTTTAACCCGTTAGTCTCCAGCTTGAGGAAAGCACCTGAGCTGTAACGTACAGCGGGTGAATAAACATTCAAACAGCAGCAGCAGAAGTCTCCACCTGGTGACTGGACTCCGACAGGCACTGCTCCAATCAAACCTGCACTAGCATCATCCTCACATTTGTGCAGCATCAAAGGCTCTTCAGTGAATCCCTCCTTCCAGCTATATAAAGAAGATACTGCTGTTGTGAATCAGAGCAGACACAAACCACTGCCGGGCTAACTGTACGGCCTGACACAGATATGTTTTAGTGTGTGTTCTGGTGCAAATAATGGAGGAGTTGTGTGAAATATTGATAAGGTAGTTGAAATAAATTACCCCTGACATGAATTAGTCATCAAATACACTTCCTAGCAGTTACTGTGGTGCTCTCTGGATTTGTAGGAGGATCCTATATGATAACACACTCCATATGGCAGCACGCGGTCCAGGCAGACAAATATACTGTGTACAGTGAGAATGTGAGGCGTGGAGGTGTGAAATTGTCGTGCGTGCATGTGTTTGCACATGTATGCGTCTGTGTATTCAGACATGGGAACCGAATGTGTAAACAGTGTAATAAATTGTGATAATGGGAAGAGAGCGGAGAGATGACGAGACGGGAGCAGAGACGGGAGGACAGCGAGCATCGACGTCGCACACAGCTCCAGATATGAGGCTTTGATTTGATTTATTTTTGTCAAATGGTAGACAGAACCTAATTATGAAGATTATTATAAGCCCTTGAATATATCCTCTACATTTCAGAGATAATGGGTAAAACACTTGAGGCAATAGTCTTCTTCTCCTGTTTATTTAAGTTCAGGGCATTTTGGAAATAAACTTCAAAAGCCTTAGCTAATAAGAATCAAAAATGATAAAATGTTTAAGAGGAATTAGGAGAATCAACCAAATACTGAGGGGCAGAAAAAGTGAAAACAGTGTAGTAACAGTAAAGGGAAAGGCAAATATAACAAGAAACAGAGAAAAGTAGTGAACTGAATAAACCTGAAAAGGGTCTGGAGAGAAGGGAGAGGAGGCAACAGGACAGACAGAGCAGGAGCATCCTGGCCTAGTTCCAGTCGAGCCCCATCACAAACAGGTGCCGTTTTTAACACCTCCCACTGGGCTGCTTCATAAACACACTGTCTGCTGGCCTTTATAGACTCAGCCTGAAGTAGCTCAAAACACACAAACACCCGGGTGGACACGCTGTCCATTGAGCTGGCACCTCATCCTCAATAGGGTCAACATGCTGCTTGAGTGTTGTGCACGCAGCAGTACAAAGAAACACACACAGAGACACCGGGAACACACACAGACTCTGCTGAAAGCCTCATTGAGGCCACAGAAGTCCACTAATGTCCACAGAGCTTAAAAGCACTTGACATCTTTTGAACCCCGGGCTCATCTGGAACCTGTGCATGCCAGGCAGGGTCAGGGCCACTGTGGTCGCATGACTCTCACACTGTTGCTCACTGTGGTCGCTCCTTCGCCGTTGCCTCAGCTCTCGGTGCTTCGCTCTCTCCTCCCTCTTTCTGCTATCTTCATCCGTCAACAACAATGTATCATGTCCAATAGCTGCGAACCCTACCGATCAAACTGAGCCTGTAGTGCCCCAAAGCTCTGCCACACATTGTTTGTATTTGTACATACAGCTGGGGACGACTGAGAGGACAAATGAACCAGCAGCTATTTAGAAGCAACAGTCACCGACATGTTCTGGTTCCAGCTTCTTTAAACATTTGTACCTGTGCATGTAGAATTTGATTAGCTTGTGCTCTGTCCCTTCCTTCCTTTGCCAGTTGTTAGGCTGCTTCAGGTTTTCAATTTGAATTTTCAAATGAATATTTTTAAATGTGGCAGATGTAACAAAAACATTTCTGAAATCACAGGAAAATTTGGAATAAACAATAGGCCAAGCAGTTCTAGTCATGCACATTCTGTGGTAGAGCTACAGTTGTAGAGCTGGTATCCACGAGTTGGCAAGTTTTCATGAGCATAACCAGTTAAATGTTAGAGGGGGCGAGGAGAGACTAGAATTTTTGATTTGGTTAAAAACATACACCTGCAATTATAACACCTTCACAATTAAAAGTGTAGACGAGCAACAGATAAATGGTTGAAACAGCTAAAGTACAAACTGTTCAAGTCCAGCACATAGTTAAGAGTGATGGGTAAACAACTGAAACAGCTAAAGGCCACTCCACGTGTTAGCACTGTGATACCAATGCAAACATAACCAAACCAAACACTGGGAGTTTAATTAATAGGAGAAAAAAAGTTTTCCAAACTAATTTCTTGCAGCAAAACCTGTGCTGCCTAGCACTGCTGTTCTTGACTTTCTTCTTGTCGGAGGTGAGGGATTCATTGGGACTCCCTGATTATTAAAGATAATGTTTAAGTGTCTGTGTGAAACTCTCCAACTGGTGCTCTCTAGAGAATGACGCTGAGAGAGCCTTCTGATTGAGCTGCTTCCTTTTCCTTTTTTAGTAATGAACCAAAAGGGTATCCATCAGGGCGCCCGTCCAGCAAACCAAGCAGCCAGCAGGCCAGGCAACAAGCCATTCATTCAGTTTCTAGTATATAGACTGTAGGCCAGATGCTAATCTCCTGATTGAACACTTGACAACAAAGGTTATCGCCAAACAAATTTAGTTAAGGCAGCGAGGGGCGAAGGATCTTAGCAGCGCTCACAACTGATCTAATCAACAACACAGCTAAGTTGATTATAAAACTGCAGGTCTGGAGTGCAGACAATGGCTGGGGAGGAGCAGAACAGTGGAGAGGAGACGACAGAGTGGGAGCAAAGATGATGGGACTAGAAAAAACAGAGCAGAGCCATGCTCAAAAGAAGAAAACAAAGTGGAGGAAAGCAGCACAGGGCAGAACAAAGGAGACGACTTCAGGGCAGGACAGAGCAGAACACGACAGGAAGACCACAGCAAAGCTGAGAAGAACAGAGCTGTGCACTGCAGAGCGCCAACAGAGCGGGAGAACTGCATTCTGGGGCAGCAGCAGCTGCCATACGCTCCACTGTTTTCTCAAAGCAGTGGTGAAACAAAGCTTCAGAAAGCGAACAAGCAGACAGGGGTTAACATGCCTTCTAAAGAGTTTACTGGGACGGACAACAAAGCTGTGCTGCCTTAGAGTAGGATGCAGTTAAGCCTGGGGCATGAGCAGGAGGAGGATCTATATCCTCAGACACAGTACAGTCCATAAAGGTGAGCATGTGTTTCTGCAGCAGGTTCCTGTGTTCGCCTGCTGCTGTGAGTGTGAGCGTCAGCATAGTGTAAACTGTACCTGGGTGGTTGTGTACTTATAATCAGTGAATCTGTACAGACGCAGAATGTGTGTCTGTATGTGAATGCAAGTGTGAATCAGTGGGAGAGGATTCACTATGTATTACAGAGTACCCTCAGTGGTCAGTTTATTAGGAACATGTGTCAAACTAATCCAACAGTCCTGAGGGTGATAATGTTCAGCTTGTGTTCAACCTGTTGTTGATTCACCGGTGTGATCATTTTAGAGGCTGCCGTCTCTGGTACGACTCAATTTGATAGCATTAAAATAACAGCTGTTTCTATTATTTTGTCCACCCCATCATACCGATGCGGCTAGGCTAAATGACAACAGCTCCAGCAGCAGTGATCACACAGCTGAATCACCACATCTCACATTATTATGCTCATGTAGGAGGATTTCTGTGCAGGACTGTTAGACTGCATTAGTTTTAGCTAGGTGTACCTAATAAACTGCCAACTAAAGGTGTGCGTGTGTGTGTGTGTGTGTGTGTGTGTGTGTGTGTGTGTGCCACAATAGACCTGCTTTTCTAAATGCCATCCCCAACACCATACACAGGGACAGAGTGGCATCTTAAAAGCCCTTAGAGGCAAGTTGGTGATTTGTGACCTGGACTATGCTAAAAGATCTGACTTGAACCGGTTAAAGGGCGACTGACACACAAACTGTGCAGCACCTACGTGCACACAAACACATCTGGCCTCCACTGGCAGTCTGTCTCTCTTTAACACAACAAAGACACTTTCGGCTGCAGCAGACATACAAAGTGGCACACAGGTGAGACTGCCCCTGAATTCGGCTCTGTGCTGAGCTCTGGAGCGTGCACGGCAGGGCCCAGCGCTCGCTGGCTGAAACGCCACTGGGACCAATTAGGCAGCGCGCAGAGCAAAGCGCCCCCGAACACTGCGCTTCACAAGCAGTTCAAACAGTCTGCTGCTGAGACGGACAGCTGAGAGGGCGGGACCTTCCTGAGAAGGGGCCGTTTGTGTGTGTAGTGTGTTATTACATGAGGGGAAGATGATCACAGTGTGTAGTGGTAGAAGGTGCACGCTTGTGTGTGTGTCAGCGTCTGCTGCATCCAAGGTTGTGCTGATCTACAGCAGGACGCTGGTG